CGGGGTTATTGCGACTGAAGTGCAGGACCCGAAGTGCAGTCTTTCATAGGATTAAGTAGTTTCTAAGTGAGTTTTAAATCTTTTCTGAGTAATGACTGTGAAAGTATCATGTCTGGGAGATAAAATGTGAGAAAATTCTGAGTATATGACCATTGACATTTTAAAAAATGTGACTAACATATATTAGTGTAGAACTAATGTTAAGTAATATTATTATTACCTTCTATCAGCTTGGCTCCAGGCTGTGATGCTGAAGGCCTTTTTCTATGTATTACAGTGTGACTGAGTTCTTCCTGTGTTATCTGTAAGGAAAAAGGTATCTGATAGAACTGTTTATACTACCTTGATATATATTTTTCTCTCAGCAAGCAGCAGTGCAAGGCACTTACCTCAGGTGGCAAATACCTGAGAATGACCTTCTGCAAGAAGGGCTTCCTTAGAATAGAGTTGATAGATGGTCGATCTCTTGGAGATATTTTAAACAACTGAGAAATTAATATCCTCAAGTCATATGAATAGTTGGGAGACACTGGGTGAAAATGTCCTCTACAGATCTTCAGTACCAGCTGGTGCAAACTATTGCCTTCAAACTTAATCAATGAAAACGGTAAAAAGAGGACAGTAAGTACTGCTGGTTAGAAATGATGGACCAGACACCCCAACTTGAAAAAAAAAGGTACTTGCTGACAGAAACCCTGTGCTATGCAATCTCTTCACATATCCTTTCTTGCTATCCATAGCTTGCAGTGGAAAATTAATAAAAGCAATCTCTGATTGTATTTCTTGATTACATTCTACTTGTCTCAGTTGCATGAGTCAACAGGTCCGATAGCTTTTGTACCTGGAAGGGCTTTATTCATACTCTGCTGTCATGCAGTAGCAATTTTTCCAGAATTAATCATGATTTATTTTGACAAAAGCTATTCAACAGAGACCTGCTTTCATACTATCTTCATAGTGTTCACCTTCAAAACCTCACTCCACACAACTTAGCCTCTGCGTTCTGCGTTCTCTCAGGAATGAAAGTATAATCTGATTTTTAACAACTGATGCCACTCAGACAACTCAGTCCTCTCAGTTCAGCAGATGTCTTTACAGATCAGCATTAATAAAATTTTTTAGGGCCTCAGAGAGGCAAAACTAATTTTGAAAGCAACTTCTTCCTAAAATTACCATTTTATTTACTTGGCTATTTTGAAGGTGGCGTAAACAAAATCTGCCTTAACATCACTTCCATTTCCTGTCTACATCAGCATATAGCCCCTGTCTTCAAATTAAAAAATGGGCAGCAATAAAGTATACAATAAACCAGCTAATATTAATAACAAGTAGCATTAATGTTTTCTCACTTTGTGAAATCTGGACTTTTCCTTAGCAGTATCCCCTTGCTCTCAGCTCAGCACAATTGCCTTCCCTACCAGTGCTGCTCTGCCTTCTCCAGCATCCAAGCCCAGCAAAAGGTCAAATTCTGCTGGGACCAGGAAGCTGATCGTTTTCCTGTTGTCAGGATTAGTTTCTCCTGTATTCCCTTCTCCACATAATACTCACAGGCTGAGTATTATCTGAGGCTCAGATCAGCCTGAGGACCATACAGCTTCCTGAAGATGCTGTCTCAGTTATTTTCAGACATGAATATGCTTCCAAACAAGATGAAAACTTTAAGAAAATGCTTCTGGAGACTCAAACTGCTTTCTGGGGGAATGTGGGTTTCAAGCTCTTTAGTAAGTATAGATTGGTATATTCAAATAGAAATGAGCACATTTATATGCTTAAAGCCTGATCTTGAAGTGTGGCTTTAATTCCTTCCATTGTTCATCTGTCTTTTGAAAAAGTTTAGTACTTATTAAGGAGTGAGTGTGTGTCTGATACATGTGTGCATATATATATATATATATATATACACATACACATAAAGTTGTAGAAATACAACATAATACTTTGTATGTACAAAACAGACACGATACAAAAAAATTAACACTGGCAGTCATTCTTTAATATCAATAAACAAACTGAAATTAATTGAGCAGAAGTCTATGAATACTATCATTACTACAGTTTTTCCAGGCTGGCCATTATTTTGTAATAATATGATATTGATCTTATACTATGGTACTTACAGGATGCTTTAGTGCACATAGCTCATAAAGCACACAGCCAAGAGACCAAATATCTCTGTGAATAAACAGTAATATAATAATAATACATAAAGACTATAGTATTTTCATACATGTAATCAGTACCTCTTCTCAGCTCGTAAGTTTATTGACATTATTCCATCACAGTCTAATACTGGTGCAATTTTAAATTTTTCTTAAGATGCACTGACAATAACCTGAAATTTCTTTTCAGTTGTGATACCATTGTTCTATGATACCTAACTAGGTACTATCATTATAGTTGGAAAAGGCACATAACATACAGAATGCCAGCTTCATACTCCTAGGAGGATACAGGGCAAAGCTGTCTCTGGCTGACTTGGTAGTTAAGGAGACAGCAAGGGAGTAAACTTGTGTGAATAGCACCTTAGAGCTGAGATGCTAGTCTGGGCTTTAAGATATTTAGTGTTGGTCATATCCCCCATAGAGAGAAGGAGGCCTATAGCCCACTCAGCTCCTGAAATTTCAGTGCTTCTTATTAGGTATTTTATGCTAAGCCTGAGCAAACCTTTACAATTCTCAGATCTATTTGTCTTTCCTGAGGTGGCTACTGTGAAGTTCCAGAATTGCCAACCTAGCAGCTTTCATTTTAGTGTATTTTTATAAATCACAAATGAGTGTACCAAATATTCACAGACTTGGAACTGAAAAGATCCATACTTGCACTGGTTATTGCATGTTGGAAACAGAGAGAAAAATATAGTATTTAATGGAGAACCAGATAAAGCAAAGGAAAAAAAATCTATTTTACATGTCATGCCACTACTAACAAGGAGTATTAAAAGAGAATGAGATTATATTTTAAGTTCAAAGTACAAGTACTTTTACAAAAACAAAAAATATAATTATTGTAAGCCTGTAGATGAATCACAACGAACTGCTGATTGCTATACCCTGGACCCTGTGAGACAAAATACAACTAAGAGTGTTGTATAGTATAACACAGTTGTATATGATTGATGCACCTAATTACTATACACAATAATACAATACTTCACAAGGGTGACACATGTGAAATCCCTGGTGCCCTGCAGAAGTGCTGATTTAAACCAGGATATTACTCACATAAGTTCTCTCTGCCTGCATGCCCTCACGCACAAGCATATGAAGGAAAGACAGACTTACGTTTTATTGTTATACGGTCGATTTTCACAGATCTCAGGAGACAGATAATAGGGAGTCCCCACGCAGGTATGGGCAAACTCCATAGTGCTAATGAAACACAATGAACAAAAAGGCTTACACACTGAAAAATTTATGAGCAATTAAACCAGAGGCTTCTCTGCCCTAGGTGAAAAGCCTGTGGGCAACCTTATTTCTGCTCTCCAAATAGTTGAGTAATATCTTAATAATACAATCAAGTGGCTCAAAAAGATATCAAATTCAAGCATTGCCCTCTTGTTAGTATGCCCCCTGGCACATTCTGGTCATGCCAAAAAGCCCTACACAATGCCTGGCCACTATGCAGGACAGGCCAACCTTGACCTCAAAGTCAGCAAGATAAGGCCACTCTCATTAGGAAAACAGATTTTAGCTGTATAGATGAAAGCCATGCGATGCCATTTACTGTCAGGACCAGATAGTGGGTTCTGGACCTTTTTAAAAAAATAATATAGGCACAGTCTTGGAGGGCATATGAAGAAAAGAAACACTTTGTGCAAACTCTTATACTCTTTCCTAAGTTTTTAATGCTCTTTACTTTATTTTTATGAGGCACCAGAAATTATTAAGAGTGGCTGCAAGAGCAGGAGCTTTTATGTCAGTTCCACAGAGAACAGGGAAAGAACAACGCTTGCCCACTCTATGTCCTATAGATGACAGAAGTCCAGTTACTAGGCTAGGTACATCTGTAGTTTCATGCAGGATGGCATGTTTTAGGATGACAGAGAAAAATGTAGTGTCAGACCCTTTGCACCCCAGACCTCTTGAATAAGCATAATCCACAAACAATTTGCACACTCAAGCTGCATTCTGAACATTCAGAAACAGACCTATTTGGTGTAGGTCACAGACTCATTAAAAAAGGTGCTTACCTGTTCAACTGTCTCGCTATGCCAAAGTCCCCAAGCTTTGCTACCTTTTCATTATTGCTAAGAAAAATGTTCTGCAAACAAAAACAAAACTTGTATGCAAAAATGAAACATGGCAAAGCTTTTTAAGCATATTTTTACAGTACAAAATCATCCCCTCTCCAGTACCAGTTTTACTACCTGTGCTTTTACATCTCTGTGTAAAATCTTCTTGTCGTGAATGTGTTTCAAGCCCAAAGAGATCTGCACAAACCAACTCAGAATCTGCAGTAAAAGATAAAAGGAATGGATATATAAATTTTTATAGCTCTAATGTCCAATAGGGCATCTTACTGAATTACATAAAATAAAAACAGCATGTAAAACATTATACTGCATATGCAGTACAAAATAGTAAGAAATTATTTTTAAAATTAATGCCATAGACTTTTCCTTTTCCTTTTTTAGTGCTACCACAAACCTATATGGAAAGATACCTGCTTCACTTTCCTTATCCCCATGCAGTTTTAACTGACTGTGATAGGACAAACACTTGAACAAGGACTGAAGAACCACATCAAAGGACAATAAGAATACTAGACCTTAATTTAGAAATGAGTGAGTTCAAATAACAACTAAGAGAATTTGGAAGTGTCTTCTTAATCCTCACTGGTGGGAGTCAAACCACTCAGATATAGTATTTGTAGTCTTACTGAATATGGTCCAGAATAAAACAGAACAAGAGGATGAAGGATGGAAATGTGAAAGAAGGGAGCTATGCAGAAACTTGCATAGTAGGTAAGCACACAGGTTTATCCTTTACCCTTGACCAAATACAGCTCTTAAACATATATTTAACTTCAAATACACATGTTTTATTGAATAAGGACAGTTGCACTTAATTCAGAAACAAAAGTATGATGTGTCTATATGCTTCTCTACTTAGGAAAACTGATACTCATGAAAGATTTTGATTCAAGTAATAATATTCTATTTTGTAATGCTTCACATTAAACAAATTATTTCCTGCATAGGGCTGATGCCACAAATGTGACTTTCATAGGCATACATTTGAAAATATAAACATATTATAATGACATTACGTTGAACTGGGCAATTTGCTTTCCTTTCTTGACTGTACTGAATAATTCAAATAATGTGTTTTACATAATACGTCCTTTCCTCTAAAGATAACTTCTTTCACCTGGTCCTCGTCAAACAGCACTCCGTGCTGCATATTTATCCGCTTCATTAAATCCCCACCATCGCAGTATTCCATCACAATATATAGCTTGTTCTTTTCTGAAAGAAAAGTATAATTATTCCTTTATTACTCATTAATACAACAAAAAATTATTTTGATTTTATGTAGTCCTTCTTTTAAAAGGGAGTAGTTAATCCTCTACCTACTCCTCCATTTCAAAGAGCAACTGAGAAAAAAATGGTTCCTCCAGGTGAAACCTGATGCAAAACTATGATGTGAAAATATATTTAAATGTAGGTTTACCAAAATATTAAATACATGAGAAAACCCTCAAGAGATCACACTGGTAGAAAGACAGATGCTCTTACAGGCAACACTTAGCGGATTGCTTCATAGCTGGGACTGTTCCCCAGTAATAACTAAGCATACAGTTAGGCTTAGGGGAAAGGTTAAAAGTAGACAGTGTCCAAACAGTAGAAATAAACACCATGGGCTACATCCTAGAGAAACTCACCCTATTCTTACCTCTTTTGATTCCAGAAGACTACCAGATTTATGTGTACCTTAAAACATTTACAGTCCTGAATACAGGGAATTATTTTTATAATAATTTTATGGAGAACAGACTGCCTTCTTCCTCTTTCGGTTCTGAAGAATTCTGTATCCTTGAGAGATACCTCAAAATATGGTTCGAGACAAAAGGCCAACAGGACCTATTTCTTGCTATACTCAAAAGCTTTCTTCTTCTATTGAAACTCCTAGAAAAGTCTCATTAAACTCTGGACTCCTACTGAAAGTCAAGACTAAAGTTCAACTTAATGCAGACAGCCCAAGACCTAGCACTTACGCCACAACACCTTAGGTCCCAAATACACACACATAAGGAGGGCAAGTGATGACTGAATTTGATACCTCATGTTGATTTTCAGGAGTTGGTATCTGTCCCCACTGGTAAATAAGGGGTTGGGGACAGGCTTAAGGTTGGGCAGTATTAACAAGCTGGGTTTTGCTGCCTTCCACGCCTATAATCACAAATAAAACAAAAGTGTTAAAAGTAAACCTTGCAAAGAAGCATAGAAGGTTACGATATTTGCATGCTTCATCTTGGCCAGAAGAATGACTTCTTTCTGAGAATCTTCTTTTTCTTTCGCAGGCATCTACAGAAAATTAAGAAACTATATGCTAGCAATGATAAATATAACTCTCTTCAAAAACAGTGACATTGTTATCAAACCATTCCTGCAAATACAAAAAGACTGCGTACCAAGGTGTCCTGGTTCAGTGGGACAGAATTTTAGTGTCAGTTTTCTGTTGAAGAAAACTGCAATTTTGTAAGGACTACAACACTCCATTTCATGGGAGCAAAGTGATAAAACTGTTACAGGCTTCAGCTAATACTGGTGTGCAGGTTGTCATAGTGCTCAAGGTCTTCAGTCGTCTTGAGATAAACAGATGCAGAGGCTGGGGGCAGTGGAAACTTAGGGGGTCAACTCCAAGGTGACCCTAGGCTGACCAACTAATACTATTTGTATCATAAACATCACAGTCACTATAAATTGGGGAATTTCCTGGAGACGGCCCTTCTCTGCCTCTTCCTCCTGCTCCTTTTTCCTCCCTCTTCCATGGCTGACATCTCAAGAGGGACTTATTTACCATCCTAACCCTGAAGCCTACTCCTCCACAATATTGGTTGAGTATAACTCTGTGTATAACTGTTATTAACATTAGTTGTTTATTATTAATATTATTTAATATATTTCTATTTCAACCCACAAATGTCCTTTCCTTTTCTCACCCCCCCTCTCTGGGTTGGGGGGAGGCATCAGGGTGATAGAGCAACTGTATAAACGACGACACAAGGTGATGCAGAAATATTATAAAATGAGATATATATAACATAAAATACCAATTTTATGGTATGCTTGGAAATACATTGGAACATTACCAAAGTAAAACCAAATTATGACATTTTACAAACAAGCAAATGTATACCTTTTAACTTTTTACACAAATGCTATTGCTAAGCTAGCTGAAGAGTAGAGTCATACTCTAAAGTTAAACTTCCCATAAGTAGCTGAAGAATAAAATTCTAGATTACTCTGTATTCTTAATATGGTTGACCTCAGAAGAATAAAGTAAAAAGAAAAAAAGTCCTTCAGTGCTACTGGTGCTATGGGTTATTGCAATATTTCCGGCAAACTCTTTGCCCTGTTACATTAAATGGAAAACTTCTATTTGGTTCATTGTGATCACACTTTCAACAACATTACTTTGGAAAAATTCATGGCTCCGAGTATCCATCCATCAAAATGTCTTCTTGTATTTATAAAAAGTTTCTTACCCTCATTCTTAAGAAATAATTTTGAAATTTAATCCTCAAAGATTCAAACATTAGAATCATAGAATCAATAAGTTAGAAAAGGCCTCTAAGATCATGAAGTCCAACTGTCAAAAAATAAAGTGAATGAAACACTCTACCATATAAAAACCAAATCTTATGACTTTGAAGTAGTAATTTTCTGTATCCAGCTCCTGGTTTTTGAACAAGTGGGATCCACAGTAATATTTTATAAGCCTCCATTTTTCTATTTTGCGTACATCAAAATCTAAGATTAGAAATGCATGGTTTTTATTGGTCATGAGCACAGAGAGAGACTAATTATTTTTTATTTAGCTGTCATTACTAGCATATAATTTTTTCTGGGTTGAATTTGGAAGTCATACAGCTCTTTCTAGAACTGATACATATATTCACTCTTCTATTATAATTCTCCAGTATATTAGAAATTCACACGTCACCCAGAATAGCAAACAATCTGTCAAAAGCATGTAGGTACTCATAGAAATTGACTGTTGAACTCCGCATATTGAAGTCACAGGGACTTAAATCGCCTGTCTTTCTGGAACAAGATATAGGAGTGGTGTTGCTCTGATACCTGAGCTGGTGACCCCAATCTGCCTCTGCAGTCAACGGAAGGGAAGAGAGTGGCTTTATGGCCCAATTCAGCTCAGTCTAAAACAGAATTCTAAAACATGCATGATCAACAGCATCCTAAAAATACACATTTCCCTTGTTCTCCTAGAAAGGGCGCCTAGCCAAGCAGCTCAGATGCTGACAGCTACAGAATGGACATTTAAAATGAGATGAGATGAATCAAACTGCCAAAAACATAATTGGGAACTGGAAAGACTCTGTTGTGAATTACTCAAGCCTGAAAACATGGATGTGCTAAAAAAAAGGAAATTAAAAAGTTTAGAGAAATGTATTGCAAAACTGTGATTTGTTATTTCAGTGGCAATAGTTTCATTGTAGTTGAATCATCTATTATAAAATTGTCATTAGGTAGTGTCACACATTGTAAGTAGAGAGGTTTTGAAAAGAACAAAAACGCAGTAAAAGGCCAACACTGTTAATACCAAAATATCTATTTCATCTATGCTTGTAAAATCACTAAATTAGCAGAAAGTACAGTCTCTGGAAAGGTTAACACTATATAATCAAGACAGAACTACAAAGGAGATAAAACATAACCCAAGTTCATACCCGAGCTAAATGCAATTGGCACGATCAGGTAAATAACTACAGTTATCATTCAGGTTTTGTTGTTTTACCTCAGTTAAATTGATCTCTTTGATAACACACTGCTCATTATCTGCTTTTCCTTTTGCCAAGAATATTTTGCCAAAAGATCCTTCTCCAATTTTTTTAATTATTTCATATTTATCCATGATGTCTTTGTCTTAAAGATGGGTCTAAAATGAAAAAGTCCGCAGATTAGTATTGCATGTAGTCAATGCTGTAACATCTAAGCTTGTACTAATGAAATAGACATTACTTTTTAAGACTGTAATTTTTATCGCATTTTTATGTTTTATCATACTTTTATTATTGCTGGCGATTCTTCTTTAAAATGTCATCTCCTGAAAGTCTGCAAATTATTGCAGATCTGAACCTCAACAAGCAGCAAGTTTATGAGTGTCTCATAAAGAAAAGCTTGAAGCTTAGTACTAGTACAGCCTAAAGTTAAAACCCAAGAAGGCAGTGGAAAGTACTATGTAGGATTGTGATGCGATTTTGGAAAGTCTGACTCATCATTTATTCGAGTTAACAATACCACTGACTTATTCTTTTAATGGAAAGAAACTGATCATGTATTTCATATCGATTTATTTAATACTT